CAGCTGTGTGGTCCCTGTCCTCTAAGCTGATTGGTGTCTCCTAGGTGATGCCCATCCCACCCTGAATGTGCTGGCCCCCTCCAACCAGGAGCTGCAGCAGGGGAAGGCCACGCTCATGTGTCTGGCCAACAAGGGCTTCCCCTCAGACTGGAGTCTGGCCTGGAAGGTGGACAGCTGTACCAGCAGCATCAGTTGGGAGGAGAGCAGGAGCCCCGGGGTGCTGGAGAAGGACGGGCGCTACAGCTGGAGCAGCACCCTGAGGCTCCCTGCAGACCAGTGGAGGAAGGTGGGCTCCTTGACCTGTGAGGCCACCCGGGATTCCCAGACTCCAGTCTTAGAGACTCTGAGGACAGACCAGTGTTCCCATTACTGACTCACTGGGAATCTGCTAATGATTTTTTTTTGCTACTGCTCTCAGTCTGACCTCTGGAACTCTCTTTCTTTCACTCAGTCATTCTCTGATTACATATTTCACAAATAAAATGTGGTTGTTTTTTTGACATTTCAATACAATAAAAACATTTTCATCAAATCTGATGTTTCATAGATGTTGCTGTAAACCTGAAAGATGTTGACATCTTCAGGGTTTCATTAAATCCAGAAACTGAATTCCACTGACTTTAAAATATAAGAATTAGTTGCAGTTGAATATTTTATGTATTTGAAATTTTTAATATAAAATACCTAAACATATTATAAATACCTTCCAGATAGTAACAAATTCATCCTTTTTTCTAGATTTGTTGAAGATTTTATCACTGTAAAAAGGGCTCTATAACAATAAAGTAAATTATCTTTGGTAATAAGATCAGTTGTTAAAATATTTCTCACAAAATCAGTGATGTGTCCTGTCACTGGTAGAAAGACATTAATATAATTTTAGATGTGCTCAAAACGTACAGCAAGTCTTGTCAAATCTCCATCAGAGAAGAATTTATTGCATTTGAATTAAGTAGAAAGTCATCAGCAGTTTATATATAGTGTCAGTATCAGTGGTGTGATCTCATAATGTGACATATTAGTTTTCTTTTCAGAACAATATTTTATTAAAGTGTGATGTGTTTAGGTTTGATTAAAACAACTAAATATGAAATGAATTTTGAATTACATTTAAATTACTTAAAAATAACTATAATAACAATAAGTATTAATTTGTTGTTGCTTTTATTAGCTTAGTTCCTTTTTAACTGATCTGCAATCTGTAGGTTGATCAGACTTTTAAAACACCTTATTTTCACTAAAACATAATTTTAAAGTAGTGAAGTATAATTGGTAGTCATTGAAAGTATTTTGACCTCTGTTATATCTGAGTGTCAGTCAAACATTATCTCTGTTTGTGTGCAGCTGTCGATTCAGATCAGTTCCTCTGCAGCAGAGGGAGGTTTTTGTACGACGTTGTATCACTGTGTGAACGGCCAACTATTACTCTGCTGACAGTAGTAAACTCCTGCATCTTCAGTCTGGACTCTACTGATGGTCAAAGTGAAGTCAGTCCCCGAATAACTTCCACTGAAACGATCTGGAACTCCAGACTGATGAGTTGTAGCATATCTAATCAGGAGCTTTGGAGCTTCTCCAGGTTTCTGAAGGTACCAGTGGAGGTAGTTACTAACACTTGTACTGGCTTTACATCTGATGTTGACAGTCTGTCCTGGAGCAACAGACTGAGCTCCAGGAGACTGAGTCAGGATGATTTGTCCTGATGAACCTGGAAAACATGACAAAGAGGAGAAGGGTTACTGAGACAAATCCAGCTCAGAGAAAGACCATCAGCATCCAAACAGAAGAGGATCATTTCTTTAACATGGAGAACAGATGGAAGAAGGTCAGTGCTGCTTGTTTCAGTGTTTCTCCATCAGAAGGGCAGCCAGCACTAGAGTCAGAGACATCATCACGGTGCTGCCGGCGTGTCAGTGGCTCTGAAAGGCCTGACCAGCCACTGATCAACACTGGCCTCTTAACGGCTGGGAGCACAGAGGCAGGACACATATGCAAACACACACAGTGGCTGAGCTGCAGCTGTTCTCAGCGTGTTGGCCTGTTTCCCTTCAGTACTCACTATTTAAATTTAAATCATTCAGACACAATGGAGTGAAAATCTGCTGCTTGGTTTCCATGAGCAGTTAGCTACTGTGAACTTTGACAATTTTCAGTGTCTGACAATAGGTTGATCATTTTATTCAACAATGTGCAAAATGTGATTTGAAAAGGCCCAAACCCAATATGTGTTTATATCTAAATGTAGAGTTTTTCATATTAAATGTTAAGACAGTTGGTCTGGAAGTGGAATCAAAATTATGATAAAACAAAAAACAGAAACAGGAAAAGAGATGAATAGTTTTTGTAGACATTTTTCAAATCAGATATGAGGAAAAGTGTTTCCATCTTTCTAAAATATCTGTCTTAATTTAACATCAGGGACATGCTTGAAATTTTCAGTCAGATGGATCCTAAGCAGAATGAGGATCCATGCACCGTGCTTTAAATTGTGACTGATTGAAAACTTAAAAAAGGGAAATTGAAGACATATGCTGTATAAAAAGATGTCACTGACACACAATCTGAGTTTATGATGGTGTTAATTCCATCTGATCCACTGATCCCAGATTGACCAGAGGTATCCCAGTCCCTGCTGGAGTCAGTCAGAGCATTTCCATAGAGCCACTTTGCATCAGCAGCACCATGCTCCAGTGCTCTGGGAGAGTTTATAGTCCTGAGAGTTGAACCCTGGAGGACTGACAGCTGTCCTTCATGACAACAGGAGCCACAGAAATCCTCCTCATCAGAAACATGACTCTGATCTCCGTCCTCATCTGGACTCTCCTCTGCTGCTGCTTCACAGGTAAAGTCCAGAGAATCCAGCTCCTCTCCTCTATGAACATCCGTCCCTCTGAAATGAAGCCGACAAAACCGTGATGCTGCTTTATGTGTTTGTCTCTGTGTCCTCAGAGTCCAGAGGCCAGGTCACAGTGACTCAGCCTGGAGCTGTCAGCTCTGCTCTGGGAGCCTCCGTCACCATCAACTGTAAGACCAGTCAGAATGTTTATAATAGGAACTGGTTACACTGGTACCAACAAAAAGATGGACAAACTCCTAAACTCCTCATTTACGCTGCGAGCAATCAAGCATCAGGGACTCCAAGTCGTTTTACAGGCAGTGGATCAAACTCTGACTTCACTCTGACCATCAGTGGAGTCCAGGCTGAAGATGCAGCAGTTTACTACTGTCAGAGTTATCACTACATCAACAGTCAGCGGTTGTTCACACAGTGAAAAAAGCTTCGTACAAAAACCTCCCTCAGTCAGACTGAACAGAAACTGAACTGACTGC